ACTGCAGTGTGGATTGTACATAGGCCCTGCGCTGCGAGGTACGCTGTTGGGAAGCAACGTCCATCTGCCCGAGGGCAGGAAGGCCCTGCAGAGGGACAGCGTGAGGCCAGCTGTACGAGGCTGCACGGAAGCAAGTGCTGGGTCCTGCGCTGTGGTCATGACAACCGCATGGCAGCTTCTGCAGGATTGGGCTGAGGTAGAATTCCAACTGATTCTAGAATGTTGGGTGTTGGGTTTTGGAATCTTCTGGTCCTGTGACATGGTCTTGCCTCCCCACCCTGTCGTCATGGCGGAGCAGCCTGGTGGCCCTTAGTGATGTCACAAGAGGCTGGAATGAGGGGAGGAGCAGTGCGTGCTGCGTCCCTTCATTGGAGCGCTTGAGCTCTGCGTGAGTAGCTCACTTGTTGCCCTTGTGCAGCGACTGAGTGCGTCGTTTTCACCCCTTGTGTCTTGTGCAGCATCTTGTAGGTAAGCTGAGACAGCGTGGGATGGACGGGTGGGCAGTGAGCTGTTGAAAACTGCTGTCTGGTGGAGCTCCTAGCAGCTCGTACTGCTTACTCTTGTCCATCAGACGTAACTTTCAGCCAGTACCTGCATTCCCAAGCGATCCACAAAGATGGCATTTGTCCCGTGGCTTTTCCCTTGTCATCTTTGCTGCATTGTGCAAGCTCACAGACCTGTTCCTTCTCTCTCCTCTACCTTCTCCCTTGGTGCAGCTTTCGCTCGTGGAAGCACAGAGCAAAGTGACAAGAATCAGCTGCGAGTTCAAGGAATTGTCTACCTCGTTCTGATCTCCTGCCAGGTACGTGCCACGCTTTGTCCCCCCACGTGGTTGACCAGCACTGTGTCGCACCATGTTTGGTAACACAGCCTCACCCAGCTTTGATGGGACACTGGTCCCGTGTGGGTTTTTTCCCTTCCCCTGCAGCTCGGTCCTGTGGAGGATGCTGTGTGTGGTGCTGTGACCAGCTGGTCTGAAGGAAACCAATCCCTTAGGCAAAGAGTCCTAGGCCCAGTTTGTGCCGAGCTGCACAGTGTGACCTAAGGCCACAAGCACGCACGCTTGGGCTGTGTGAGTGTGCGCGGCAGCTGTAGGGTGCACAGCAGAGATGCAAGCAGAGGAAATCCTTGATGTGCGGGGCTGCAGCAGGTGCCGGTGGTGAGGCTGGTGGGAGTCGGGGCCGGGGAGCAGATGCACCTGCAGCAATGATTCCTCTCACTGCCCTGCTGCTGCGCTGTCAGAGCGCCCTGGGCGAATGCATCTGCTGCTTTGTGCCAGTCCCCATCTGCTAGCAGAGGGACAGCCGCTTGGTCAAATGCTGCCTAATGGGCTGTCCCATTTGAACGGAGTGAACAGAGTGGTTGCTTCTAGAGCACCCGCCTGTGCCAGAGGATAGCCAAGGGTAGTTCTGAAGAAGTCTCTCAATAGTGTGGTGTGTGAAGAGAGAAAATATGAGCGTGTTTCTTTTCATTCCAGCTTGTTGTGCCTGCTGTGATGGGCATCGCGTGCAGCGAGATCAGCTGTGAGCCTGGCATGACACGGATGGAGGTAGAGTGTGGAGCTCTGATTGGTCTTTGTTCCCTGACTTGAGCCAGCAGAGTGAGCTGCAGATGTGCTCTCCTGCTTTTCAAGAGAGCGAATCCTTGCGGCTCTATCAGTGTCACTGAAAAGCTGCCTTCAAGGCTTTCTTTCCTTGCTGCGGGCATGTTCTTAGCCTCGCCGTTCCTTCTTGTGTGCCCATGATAAGGACGGAGTGCACTTCCTGCAGCTTTCTCTGCTGACATGCTCCTCAGCCTGAAATCCTCCTCGTTTGCCCTCAGCTCCTCACCATGGCCTGTGCTCTCTGTTTCAGGCTGAGAACAACGGGAAGCCCCGGCTGGTCCGTGAGGAGTCATCTCTTAATATCCCAGCTATTGCTGCTGCCCACGTTATTAAGAGATACGTTGCCCAGGCACCGGGTGAACTCTCCTTGGAGGTAAGCAGTTAAGGGCGTTCCTTGTTGTCCTGTACAGAAGAGTATAACATGTGAAGCTATCAGGAATATTCTCAGACACCTTCCGAATGTTTGGTGAGGTGAAGCCCAGAAGATTCAGTTCCAGATTAGACTTGCACTGGGTTGGATGCAGGGAGGAGTTCAGCCATCTCTAAACTATGGCTCTATTTGGCATTGGAATCTTGTGATCCAAGAGCTACTGCCCAATGTGGTAGCCTGGTCTCTGAGCAATGGCAGAGCAGTGTATGGAGTGTGCGGATCTGTTCAGGCTCTGTTTGGCTGACTTATGCCTGCGGTTTAATTGGAGCTCTCCCTTTGGCAAAGAGCCTGCTGCTTCTGAGAACCATTTCATACTGAACAGCTGAATTCTGTACGTTGTGTATTGGAGTGACTCTTCTACTTCCACGTTCAGTTGTACGACTGCAAATGCCTGAAGAGCTGCACTGGTGCAATGGCTCTCAAGCTTGACGATATTGGGCAGTGCAGAAGAATGCAGTCATTTGAGCTGCGCTTTCCTCCCAGCCGTGCTGAAGCTGGGATTGACGTTGCAATCTCTTGCAGGTGGGAGACCTCGTGTGCGTCATTGAGATGCCGCCTCAGGAGCTGAGCCCCCGCTGGAGAGGCAAGCACGGCTTTCAGGTAGGCCCAAGCTTCAGACGTGAGAGCGCAACTTCGGTCGAGGCAGGAATCTCAGCTTAGAGCTGCCCTGCCTGCACAGCATGGCTCCGCATGGAAAATGGTTTCCTTGTGCTGGTGTCAGAGGACTTTCCCTTTTGCTGTGGGCTTGGGCCAGAGCTGGAAGTTGGTCTTTGTAGGAAACTGCCTCCTCAGTTAACTTAGAAAGAAGAGCCCTCACAGCGTGCATCAGGTCACGGCCACTGAACCGCACCTTTGGAAATGCAGCAGCTAGGACCCGTGTTTCAGTGTCTCTGAGCACTTGTGCTTGCACCCATGCAGAAGGTGAAGTCAATGTCTTTTAGGAAGTCGCTGCCTGTCAGCTGAGATGAGGCAGGGTAACAGACCCTCTGCTGTCTGCAGAAGGCTGGGTAGCTCAGAGCTGGGGGTGGCAGCTGCATCTCAGTCAGCAAGCAGAAAGTGCATAGGCTGTGCCAACTCAGATCTATCTGCATCAATCTATCATAATATATAGCTTCTGTATGAAGTCTTTCCCTTCGGGCAAGCTTAAGATTTAGGGGTGCATAGCATACTTGTCCTTTCCCCGCTCCATACACAGTTTTATGGATATTTGCCTGCAAATTTGGAATAATTATTAATTTTAAGCAGGCCATTTTTTGGTTGGATTGTCTTACGGAGCATCCGGCAGGCACGTGATGAGGAAAATGTAATGTTTGAACAGTTCAGGCCTGAGAAACGCTGCCTTCAGTATTGCACGTCTCTTCTTCTTCTTGTTACAGGTTGGATTTTTCCCTGGTGAGTGTGTGGAGCTCATTAACGGAAAAATCCCGGAGTCTCTCATCAATTCAGTGCCAAAGCCAGGTACGATGATACATTTGATGGTGCATGGAAGCAAAATGGAGTCTTTTTTGGGTGTGTTCCGTGTTTAATACCTCCCTTATCCTTCCCCCCTTATCCTCTGTGCTGATAATCCTTCATGCATCGCACGGGGCGTATGGCTGGTGTTTTGTAGGCAGTGAGAATGAGGGAAGACAAAGGCAGTTCTCCGGCAAGTCCGTACGAGGCTGAGAACAGCCAGCGTCCCTGGTGGACAGATAGAGGTCTGGTTGTGCTAGTGACACGCTTGATCAGAACGTGGCTTTTCAAGAGGGTCCTTAATGCCCAGGTTGAGCAAGCTAAGCAAGAGGAGTGCATTCAACTCCATCAGAACGTGCAGAGATTTGGCCCAGTCCTCCTGTGTTTTATGACTGGAGTTGGGGAAATCCTAGAATCCTTGTAGAATGGCTTGGCATGGAAGGCAGCTCGAGGATCATCAAGCTCCAAGCCCCCTTGCCTCAAGCTGGGCTGCCAACCAAGCTCCACGTTTAATGTGGGACTGGACCAGGCTGCCCTGGGCTCCATCCAGTCTGGCCTTGGACTGATCCAGGGATGGGGAAAATCCATTTTGGTACGCACTTGCTCATCATGTTCTTCCCGTTTTGAGGTGCTCTGTAGAATGTGTTGTGCTCGGCCTCGTCCAACGGAGCCAAACCTGAGATGAACTGGTTTCTTCCTTTTGTTGTCCAGCGCCAAAGAAGCGCGGCAAGCTCCTCACCTTCCTTCGTTCCGTGGTGAAGGCCCGCCCAAAGCAACGGAAAGAGCAGGAGGTGGAGAAGGAGAGGGTGTTCGGCCGTGACCTGGGAGAGCATCTTCTTCACTCTGGTCGTGATGGTAAGGGACAGCCCATTCCTGAGAGCTTCCCTGTTTGGGAACCTAAAGATGAAAGGGAGATGGTATCTAGCAAGGGGCAGGTTGATACCAGTGGAGAAACGGGGAATGGGAGTTGATGGCTGAAAGATGAAGTGAGGCTAATGCTCCCAAGAGACAAGCACGTCTCTTAGTGGATGGGATGTGATGGGAGCGCAGCCTGGGCCAGGACTTGACTAAGGAGCTCCAGTAACCGCCGGCACGTGTTCTTTAGTCCCCCAGGTCCTCCAGAGCTGCGCCGAGTTCATCGAGCAGCATGGCGTGGTGCAGGGGATATACCGCCTGTCCGGCGTGGCGTCCAACGTCCAGAGACTGCGGTAAGAGCGCTGCGACTGACAGACACAGCTGCCAGCAGGGGCACGTGCCCTGTTGCGGGCGTTCAGAGGCCTGCGGGCAACGCCTTAGCACAAAGAAAAGGTCTCCTTTGGGAACATCCCATCCAGCACGGCTGACGTGGTGCTGGTGGCCGAGTGTTTGTGTTCTCCTGTACATCAGGAAGCCCTTCTGATTCTTGATTGCATTGGGTGTGGCTTTTGACTTGCTTTCCTCTTTCTCAACCACTTTCATGTCCTTCTCTGCAGCCAGGAATTTGAGTCTGAGCAGGTTCCTGAGCTAACCGTCCGCGACGTTCACAGCGCGAGCTCCCTCTGCAAAATGTACTTCAGGGAGCTCCCGACCCCCCTGCTGACCAACCAGCTGTACGACAAGTTCTCGGTAAGCACGAGGCAACGCCTTTCCTTTCCCTCTTCGCTGGGCCTCTTGGGAGATGGCTGCAGCAGTGCCCCAGCTCTGAGGCCCTTCTTCTGTTAGCCCCATGGGGTTTACTCGCATGTCTTTGCCACATCCTGCATCATGCTGATGCCACTTCTGGTGGCCCCAGGAGGTGGTTATTTCCATATTCACAATGCTTTGCGGGAATTCATGTGTTGTTTGTTTGTTTTTTGCTATTCCCCAATTCTTTCTGGAACAGGAATGGGATTAATAGCCAAGCGTACTTGGAGATGAATGCCCTCTGCGAGGAGCTGAGCTGCCCAACCAGGCTGTAAACCGGCCCGGTGCTTGGACTCCTTGGCCGTGGTGGCACCAGCTGCGTGCCGCTATGTTTGCCAGATGCCTCTGGGGAGGCCTAAAAACTTTCTCCGTGCTGACCAGCAGCGCGCTGTGCCCATGGTTCCCGACCCTGCGGCAGGTATCTCTCCTGATTTGTGTCTCAATCCCTTTCTGCCCTTTTCCAGGATGCTGTTGGTGCCACTACGGAGGAGGAGCGGCTGGTCAGAATGCGGGACACCATCCAGCAGCTGCCCGCTCCTCACTACAGGTCAGTGCTGCCCTCAGCCTGCTGAGCTCAGCCCTGCTGCACTTCAGAGGGCATTGGTGCGATTCCAGGCTTTGTCTCACGTGAGCAACACGATGCCTGGGTATGTTGAAGCGGTTGAAGGCTGCACCGGTTTAATTTACAGGGTTAATTTATTGGGTCAGGTCCTGGGCACGGGGGTAGGCTTGGTGCAGCTGATGGCTGTGGCTGTGCTGTGCTGGTGCTGGGTGCTGCAGCGTGGCACTTGGTCAAGTTGGGTCTACTTCATCTTCAGCATCAGTAGCAGTAATAACAACTAGTGTGAATTGAGGTTTGCTTTGTGAGTCGCAGCATGGCATGCTGGCTGTTGCTGAACATTTGCCTCTCTTGTTTCCCAGGACCCTGGCGTATCTGATGAGACACTTGGCCTGTCTGTCTGCGAACAGCTCTGTCACCAACATGCACGCCAAGAACTTAGCCATTGTGTGGGCTCCAAACCTCCTAAGGTAAACTTCTTTTTCCGTTTCAACAGAACGCTTACATCTGTTCTCCAGTAGAATAAAGCAATCCTCCCTTCTTCTGCACCACATGTGCTCTTCTCCTGTAAAATGTGCAGTGAGTGGCTGACAGCAGAGCAGGAGCCTGGACTGTTCTCCCACCCCACGTGGGCACAATTTTTAGCTGAGCATTGCTGCTCTCTTGTTTAGATGGGACTGGTGTGTCCTTGATCAGCCAGGAGAACTTTTTCAGTGGCATCACTGATTGCCTACTGCGGAAGTCTCTGGAGCCCAGTTTGACAGCTTTGGGCTGCAACAGTTCAGACCCGGGGAAGCGATCTTGGCTGAATGACTTCTAAAACCTGCCTTTTCTACAGATCACAGCAGAGCGAGTCTGCCTGCGCCAGCGGGAGAGCTGCCTGCACGGAACTGCAGACGCAGTTGGCCGTGGTGGAATTCATCATCGACCACACAGACGTCCTCTTCTGCTCCACATCTGGACCTGACATCGCAGATGGAGCAGGTGAGTGTCTTCCTCCATTAGCTTTGTCTTGGTCAGACATCTGGATCAAACGCAGGCTTTCTCCAGCTCCTTTGAAATACACTTTTCCTGTCGAGGGGACAGCAGACTTCTGGGCTTAGATTGGAATCTGGTGTCCAGTTGCTGGATGCTGAGAATGTGCAAGCCCAAACTTGACCAGGAGAAAACTTTCACCGTCATTATGATGTTTTGCAAGCAGGTGAAGCTTGATTAACGTGTGGCAGCGAAGCTTTCTCAGTTCCCTGCCCCCATTTTCTAGGGATTGTGTTTGCCTGTTTCGATACAGGGACCTGCTCCTAATTATGACTGCGTCCTCTGCCATAGACACACCTCTGAGCACATGGTTATTTTGAGCTGCTCTTCTTCCAGTGGCTCGGTTAAGCAAGTCTGAGGAAAACACAGCACCTCCCAGACCTGTGATGGCTGTGCTGCCGCTTTCTGATCCTGGCTCTCACCCGTGGTTTTCCCTTCCAGGGCACAGTTCTCTCTCAGAGCCCCAGTCTGTGCAGGCCTCTTCTCCTGCCACAGAGCTGCTCAGCCTGGAGGAGGCGCAGGCACGGAGGCAAGGCCACAGCAGCTCTCCTGTCGTTGTGACACAGAGCAGGGACATGGAAGTTGAAGAAGGCCCCACAGCTGTACAGGAGAAATTCCACACCATCATCGACTTTCCATCTGAAAGGTAAAGAGGACTTCCTTTTCCAGTACCTTCTCATCATTATTTGGGTGGGTTTTTGTGGTTCCTTTTTGTGCTTCCCCCCCTCTCCCCCCATTATTTCTAGAGGCAAAGCTTGCTGAAACTCAGTTAAACTGATGGTGCCTGAAGTGTTGCAGTGAATCTCCACTCCCTTTGCACTGTGAGACAGAACTCACATTCAGTTGCCCACCGGGCTGAGTTTAGCCACACAAGGCTGGCATTCCCTCCTTGCTGGGCAGGCAGTCACGAGATGCATAAAGCCACGCTGACGTCTGTCCTGGCCTGTGCTGGCTGTACCTGGAAACATTGGGGTTTTCCGGACTTCAGGGCCACGTGCTTGAATCCAATTCCAGTTCTCGTAGCAGAGCTGTTGGTCAGACCTGCTGGCATGAGAAACTAGATATGGCAGTGAGATGGGGCCGATGAGCTGTCAGTGTCAGAGTCAGAGATGCTTTTGGAGTTCCATGCACAACTCACACCATTCTCTGTTTCTTCTCTCCAGACCAAGTCCACCCAGCAGGATGAAGGAATCACCAGCTGGCTGTTGCTGTTCCTGCTTCAGCCTGGGAAAACCATCCTCCGTGGCCAAACGCCAACCGCAGCACCGTCCCAGGGAGCCCTCAGAGACAGACATTGTAGTCCTGGCAGGTAAGGGTGCAAATCCAGCTTTCAACACCCTGCTTCTCAGCAACATAGAATTCTTGCTGTCAGTGGGCTTGTATCTCCTTCTAGCGATCCAGCCCATACCTAGCACCTTCAGTTCTCCCCTGATCAAGAACCACTTTTGTAATTCAGCTTGTGAGAGTTGGACACCAACCCCTGTTCATTCTTTTATAGGTGATTCGAGCTCTTGTCTACCCAGATGTGCCAGAGCAAGTAGCGATGCTGGGCTGTGTGCTTCCACCAATGGAGAGCTGTTAGGAAGCACAAATGGCTGCCGTTCAGATGACAGCCTGCTGCATAACAACAGTGGCGGACACAAGGAGCTCATCCAAGTTGAAGCCCTCGTTTCTCCCAGCTCTGCTGAAGATGCTGACCTGAGCCTGTCACACACCACAGGCACCAGCCTGGACTGTGAACCAGTGCCTCTGCAGTGCAGCCCAGCCCAAGCACAGCCTGAGTGCCTTGACAGCAGCACCTCTGTGCAGGAGCAGGTCAGCAACAGCGAGGAGAAGCCGTGCCCCTTGGAGGGGGACTTAGAATCAGGCCTCCAGTCCCAGGCACCATGCAGCGGCTCTGAGAGCTCTGAGCCGCTCTCTCCGTGACCTTTCCATCCAAGAGAGGACGATTCCCATCTTTACCTGGACCTCTCACGCCCTCCTGTCTTTTCCTTTAATAATAAAAGCACGCTTGTGCTCACTCAACGCCTTGACTGCCTGTGGAGTCTTCATTCCCAGGGACTGGGATGAATGCAACAAACAATGAGGCACCTCAGCTTGCAACGCTGAGGCTGTGGGGTGCACGAAGCAAAGCTTGTGGTTAGTTCCCTTTTTGTCTGGCTTTGGGGTGTCTGCAGCTCCCATTTGGTACGGTAGCAAATAATCTCTAGCATCCTGGATGCTGCTCGTGATAACCCCATGCTTCCTGGCGGTGGCTTTGTGATTCCTTTCAGGGCTTTCGGATGCCTTGTGATGCCTTGGCTGCTCCCTAACACCTCTCTCCTCTGGCTGCGTCCATTCCTGGCTCCCAACCTGTGAGCTGCCTGTGCAGATCATCTGCAACCCTGTCATCATCATGCTGCGGCAGGACGAGCTCACTCAGACCCGGCGTCTCATTGCTCAGCGTCAGCGCTGTTCCACCCCTGGCAGCCTCTCATTGGTCGGCGGCACTGCTGTCCCATCCCCGCCAGCCTCTCATTGGTTAGCGGCAGCGCTGCTTCCTCCCCCGGGGTCTCCTTGATCCGCAGTAGCTCCGCTGGCTGCGATTGGCTGAGCCGCCGTGCACGGGAGCGGTCGTTGGGGGCCGGCTGTTGGAGGAGCGGCAGGGCTGTTGCTGTCCGGGCAGCAGCGAGATGGAAGCTGCAGCACAACAGGAGCGAGTGCTGAGGGCAGCTCCGCCAGAGATTTGTGGGAGAGCGGTCCCGGGACAGGGAGAGGAGCCCTGCGCGGCCCCAAGCAAGGGGAGATGGCCATAAGGTGGACCACAGGAAGTTCCGCCCATGGATGAGAAGGGAGTTCTTCACAGTGAGAGTGGCGCAGCTCTGGAACAGGCTGCCCAGGGAGGCTGTGGCTTCTCCTTGTCTGGAGATATTCGAGAACCGCCCGGACACCCACCTGCGCAGCCTGCTGTAGGAGCCCGTTTTGCAGGGGGGTTGGACTTGGTGATCCCTGGAGGTCCTTCCGAGCCCAGTTCTGTGCTTCTGTGATTTTAATCCTTGCTTCTTGCAGCAGTATGGTGTTTGGTGTTTCAGAAGAGAGAAAAGCATGGCGGGCATCAGCTGGATTTCTGTGGCTGGTAAAGCTGTGCCGAGAACTGGGCTGACTGCTGCCCCTGGAAACGTGCGCAAAGTCTGCAGAGGCAGAGGAATGACTTTTCTCTCAAAAGTTGAGCTTGTCTAAGGTAACTCACTGGTGGGAGAGCTTCTGCTTTAAAGCATCAGGTTGTATAAGTAAGGTAATTTAAAAAGCAAGCTTGACAGTTCTTTTTTACCTAAGTGGTTTTTTAGCAGGGGAAGGTTGGAGAGGCTTTTTGCTAACGGAAGATGGAGAGAGGAAAAGCAAGTGAAAGGCACGCTGTGCATATCTTCTGCATACCATCTGTACCGCTCTCCCCCTTTTGAGAGGTAGGTTGTGTTTTTGCAGTGGAAGTTTCCAGTAGTTCTGTATGTAGCACAGGATAATTTGCCTTTCACAAAGAAAGCTGCTGAACAGCTCTAGGATTGCAGTTGAAAACTTGTGAAACAGGTATAAAGGTGTCAATGAATCTATTAATAACTGCTAATGAAAAAGAAATAAATCCAAAGGTGCGAGCAGGGGAAGGAAACTGGGTGGACTCGGAATTACTTCCTTAACAATAACTGTCCAAGGAGGGAGTGAAGCTGCAAAACAGGGACAGTTATCCCCCCATGCCTTTAGAAAGGATAATGGGTCTGAAGGCTGTAATACAAACATTGGTTAAGATGGTCTTCTGGGACTCTGTGTCACCCTATAACACTCCAGTTTTGCCATTACAGAAGGCAGATGGCACCTATCGACTGATACAAGATCCAAGCAAAATTAATGACATAGTTCTCAAGTGACCCCCCTGCTTCCTAACCCCTATACTTTAATGAGTCAAATCCCACACAGACACAAATGGCTCAGTGTAACAGACCTCAAAGATGCTTTCGGGACCTGCATTTTAGACTCAGAGAGTCGAGATCTTTTTGCCGTTGTACGAGAGGATCCAAAAATGCAACAAAAATAGCAAGATAGGTGGATTGCTTTACCCCAAGGGTACATAGAATCGCCTAATTTATTTTTATTATATTTTATGTATTATATTATTATAAATATTATATATTGTATTATTATGTATTATTTTACATACATTATATATTTTATATTTTATTTTTGTTTTAACTAATTAAGTGCTGGAGAAAGTTTTGGAAAAGTTTCAGGTTGAAGAGGAGGTGAAGCTGTTTCAGTATGTAGATGATTTTCTGATTTGTGGAAAAGAGGAGTCTAAAGTAAGAGACTAAGTAAAACTCTGAATTTCTTGGGAATAAGGGCTAGGGCTGTTTGAACTGTAGTATGTGGAAAAAGAAGTCAGATACCTTGGGCATGTGATTTCTGAAGGGAAATAGAGAGTTCTGAAGGAATTCAGGGCACTGTGCAGCTTCATTTGCCCAGGACAAAGAGGGAGCGGCAAAAGTTTCTAGGTTTGA